CTGAGAAAAATTGGATAAATTATGTATACTGCATTGAAACAGATGAGGGAAAAGAACAGTTTAATAGTGATATATGATTGGATATTATCATTATGACAAGAGTCCAGAATGAAGGTTGCATAGTGGAGCATACTTGGGCCGGGGCGGGGGTGGGCATTATTTATCAATGAAGGAATTTTTTTTTACTTTTCAAAGAGAAGAGCTAACGGGGGGCGGGGAGAAAGGGTAGGCAGGGAGAAAAATGCAACAATGAATGAGTGGAAATCCAAAATATTGTAAATGTTCATATAAAAAAATTTTTTTAAAAACCCAAACAATACCATCTCCATGAGTCAGGTAAGTATTATTGCCAAAGGTTGGAGCTTTGAGGTCCACCTGCTCTTCCTTTGCCAATATTGGGGTTTATTCTTTTAAAAATGGTACGTTAGGTATTTTTCTCTTATTTCACAGATTTTATCTCACACAATAAAAGGCATTCTTTTCCATCTGTCCCTCTGATAATGTTCCCCTCCCTCTCCTTCAAAAACAAAACATGGAAATTTGTCAATACTTAACTCTTCATTAACCACCTCACTGAGGGTCATTAGCTTGTGAGAGCAACTAGGAGAATGTAGTAAAATTCTGCTCCTAAAAATTAATTAAATATTGATTTTTCTTCAAACTTCCTTGTTAAGATTTATGACCAGGATGCAAATAAATTCTCTCTAAGTAAAATTAAGTGAGGGGAGCAACCCCTAGTCAAACTCCAACTCAAGTGATTATGTTCTCCCTTTTAGTTCTCCTTGTAATTTTGGCCTTCTTAAGCAAACTGGGCCTACACAAAGGAATATAAACCAGAGGAAAACATATTTTCTGAAAAACAAGACAGTTTTTTAAAAAAATCCCAACCAGTTTATCATTTAACGTAAAGGGATTGACTTAACTTTCATCTCATTTTGTATTCTAAAAGCTTGAATGGCATTTCTGCCAAACTATAAGTAGAATCTGGCAAAGGGAGCTTTCAGAATTTGGGGACTTTGGGCAAGAATCACTTCAGTGATCAAATGTATATTTTTGCAGCACCATTATTTTAAGAGGCTCAAGGGCAGAGTTGTATTTTCATCACTTTTCTCCAGTTCTCTGTGTGTGGTGTGTGTGTGTGTGTGTGTGTGTGTGTGTGTGTGTGTGTGCAGGCAGGCTGATAGATGAGTAGATAGAGATACAGATTTTAAATCATTTTTCTTTTTTGAAACAACAACTGTTGCTTAGATTAATTCTGTACACCAAGGCATGCTTCCTGGGGGCATATGGTTTGGGGGTTGTCATAAAAAGCTGCAACTGGAGCCTTCTCTTAGAACAGAGCTCTATGTTTATGATTTAACTGTTTCTTGTTGGCAGCAGACAGTGTATTATTGACTCCAGAAGTCCAAGATTGTAATCCTAGTCTTTCATATTGGAATACAATAGTACCAAGTTAAACTGGCTTTGATGGTCTGCATACGCTACCCAAACATCTTGGTACAGCTGCTGGTGTTTCATCAAAAATGCAAGGCCAAAAAAAAAAAAAAAAAATGCAAGGCCCCAGCCAGTGCCATTGGGGGCACAGTCCCTTTGCAGTCTGATGCCACACTGCCCTGTGCTCTATGCTTGTTCCCGTCTCCTCCAGCCTGGGGAGCCTTCCCCTATCCATCTGTCCTCTCTGCTAGAGAGCACAGAACTCTCTTGTACCCCAGCTGTTTATGAAAATGTGGCTTAGGGGTGGGAATCAGATCTGATATCCCAGTGCCTAGCACAGTGCCAACTGTAGTCTGAGTACTCAGCAAATGTGTGATGAATTGAGGAATTAATCAATCAGTGAGGATATTTCAAATGTTGGGCTATATTCAAGCCATGAAAGAGTAGAATTCGCTCTACTGCTTTCGGGAGTTTTTGGTGTTTCAGAATTTTTTTTTCTATTGCCGCTTATGACTAAGTCCTGCTGAGAATTTTAAGTAACAATGACTCTAGTATTCTGCCAATTTTGCAGGTTTACACTGTCAAGATGAGTTCTAAATAAAGCACAAGTCACAAAAGCAGCTAAAAATCTCTCATTCCATAGAGGAAAAGATGATGGGCTTCCACCTCCTGACCCCTGTGCACAAAAAGCACACAAAATCGAAACAACTATGAGATATCATCTCATTCAAGTAAGAAAAGCAAAATTCAACAGAACAGCAAACAACAAATGCAGCGAGGTTATGGAGAAACTGGAACCCTTATTCACTGTTGGTGGAAGTGTAAAATGATGCAACCACTGTGGAAGGCGGTGTGGCACTTTCTCAAAAAGGTGCAAATAGAGATACCATTTGACCCAATAATTCTACTACCTGGAATATACCCTAAAGAAACCATAAACGCCACTCAAGCAGATATATGCATACCCATGTTTACATTTGTTCACAATAGCAAGGAGCTGGAACAACCTAAGTGCCCATCAACAAATGAATGGATAGAGAAGCTATGGTATATTCACACATTGGAATACTACACTGCTTTGAAAAACAAAGAACTTATGAAATATTATACTAAATGGGTGACTCTGGAGGACATTATGCTGAGTGAAATATCTCAGTCACAAAAGGACAAATACTGCAAAGTGCTACTGTTGTAAAATGGGACTGACATCAAGGTTGGGGGTAGACTGAGAAAGATGGGATAAATTACATATACTGCATTGAAACAGATGAAGGAAAAGTATTTAAAACGGATGTGTGATTAGGTATTATTGTCACGACAGGAGCCTAGAATGAAGGCTGCATACTGGAGAGGACTTGGGGGGAGGATTATATAACAATGAAAGAACTTTTAGTTTTCAAAGAGAAGAGTGAACTGGGGGGGAGGAGGAGATTGGGCAGGGAGAAAAGTACAACAATGAATGAAAGGAAATCCAAAGTCTCTGTAAACTTTCATTGAAATTAATAATAATAATCATTCAAAAAGAACACAAAAGCACAATGATTCACCTGGATAAACGAGCCCTAGTGGTGCTGTGGGTTAAGTGTTGGGCTGCTAACCATAAGCTCTGAAGTTTGAATTCATCAGCCACATCAGAGAAGATGTAGCTGTCTGGTTCTGCGAGCCTTAGAAACCTACTTGAGGTCAGGGGTTTGATTTTATTTAGTTACCTGGATAAAATGACCCAAATGTTAAGACTGTTGTGGTCTTTTGAACTTTATCTCATTTTATCCATAAGGCAAAGATCCTTTCAATGAACTCCAACAATCAAATTGCAAGTATTGTACTCATCGAGCTGAAAAATAGTTCTATAACCATATCTTTATCTGCCTTCCCAGCTAGTTGGAGGATGGAGACTAACTCACCTGTTTCTGGCATTTAGTAGGTGTTCAAAAACACTTGGTTACTAGCAATCATATAACAACAACACTCTCAACACAATCCAAGCTTACAAAACTAGAAAAGACTTTAGAAATTTAAAATAATTTCTGCTTTTTCAAGACCATAATAGTGAGAGCCAGAGAAACAAAATAAACTACCCCAGGGTTACAACATCAGACTACATCAAAGGATGCTTTATTTTCTCTTTTAGAAGTTTTTCAGCCTATAATTCACAAGAAAGATCCAAGAAGGGTTTGAAATTGGAATGACCCTTTCATGCTTCAAGAGTTTCTTCTAGATAAATATGCCTTTTATCATTTATAAAGTATTAACTTGAAATACATATAAACTAGAATTTGGGATTCCAGTTTATAGTACTTATTTTTGAGTGGAGTCTATAGTTCTCAAATTCAATTAATCAATTTAGCCCTTTTTACTTTTCTCTGGGACCTTCAAGGGCCTTTCTAAAGTCACAGTGAAGAGGTCCAGCTTTGCCTCCTTCATGTAAAAAATTCAAACTATAGAATAACAGATCTATAGAGATTAAAATTTCAGCATTTTAATTAAGCCTGTAAAAGTCTACCAAATTAATTTGCAGTAGCAAAATAAGATGAAATTATATAAAGCAGAGGGACCAATTTATCATCCCATTACTCATGATTTATTCAACAAGTTTCTATTTTCTGCCCCCCACCCCAAACTAGCCTCCCACAGAGCTAGAAATACCTTCTCTCCCATGGATGGAAAACAGGGTTTGCTGACACTGGAGTCTGGGAGGAGAAGAGCTAGTGCCATGCCAGACTCACAAGGGTGTTTTCCAAAACCAGCCTTTGCTAGGCTCACAGCCTCCGTTCCTAATCAACTAACACCTCTCAAGCTTAGGAATAAGTGTGCCTTGGTCCTTAATTTCCTCTTATGTCTCTTTCTCTCTCTCCTCCCAAGACCCAGCAACTTAAGAATGGAAGCTCCTGACTAATGTGTCAAGAGCCATGGACCCTTCTTAATGGACGGCCACTCTGCCTGCTTGGGGGCACTGACAGGCTGGCAGGGCGGTGCAGGGGCTGCCACCGCGTGTTAAGTCACTAATCAAGGCTGGCGCTCAGCAATGATGGAAAAGGCTCTAAGGCCAGGCAGCCTTTGGATTCACTAACTCCTCTCTGCACTGCCTGCTAAGTCTCCTCTGCTCTCTCGCCTGTGCTCTCCTGCCTGCCACACACATCTTTAGCAGAAAAGAGAGAAAGGCAGATTCAGTCAAACCCAAAATTGAGCCTGAGCCTCCAGATGATGCCTTTTATTTTGTTCCATGCTTGACTGCCTACTCACAGGGACAAATCTGTTGCTTCAGATGATTTTTTTTTTCCAAAGCAATTTTCTAAAGCGGATCATTAAAACACTGGGGATGAATCATTAGAACATTTCAGGATGGTGGAAGCTTGGAAAGATGAAGTAGCTAATGCAAAAGGAAGGCGTCTTATCGCCTCCGAGTGAAAGGTTACATTTCAAGCAGCAAGACTTCAGAAACTAAGTTGCTGTCAGGAGTCCTGGAGAAAACCCTTCCACCCACATCCCTGACAAAATCCTTTTTAAAGAAGAGCAGTCAGCATCTTTTATAACATCTCAAACCCCATTTGAGCCTGAAAGCCAACCTGAGTGGTACTGATATATCTCAGGAACCTCGAGGCTTCTTCATCCAGGGACTGAGCAGGACCTGCCCAAGGCTGAAGATCTATGTGCCACCGAGGACCCTGCGAGAGACATAAAGCACACGTTGGTGTCTGAGTAAATGAGGCGCTTCCCAGGGGACTAGGAAGGGCAGAGATTATCAGATGGAGGGCTGCAGGGCTGCATTAACCACCACCAACCAAAACAAACAGTGCTGCACGGAGACATCAGGGAGCTGGTTTGGAGTTACTGTTATTAAGGGCACATCAATGAGAGACAAATGAAAGTCCGGCTACCAGGCACGAGATTACAAAAGGCTCGAGGGACATCTGACTCTGCACTTCTGATCAAAGGCAAACTCTACTTGATCCCATGCAATTGGCTCTTAACTGTAGCTTTATATTACATGATTCAGCTTCCCATTCAGAAGAAAACCTGCCTTATCTGCTATGATTTCCAAAGCTTAGACCTTTAGAAACACGGGGTCCCTAAGGGCCAGTGCTGGTTTTTGTGGCACCATAATCCTGAGTCTTCTTCATTGGGGCGAGGGGTGCAGGTTAGGAGAGACTGTGTCTCATTCTGAGCTCAGGGAGAAGGGGCAGCGCCACCTGCTGTTTCAAACCTCACAGCGCGCCAAGCCCCTGGGGCCAGGGACCTGTGGGGCAAGGAAATCTTAGCTCTCAGGATATACTGAAGGGAAGTTCTATGAGACAGCACGCATCTTTCAGCAGAGGATGTGAGGTGCACCCAGAGCAAAGTGATTAGGATAAACCCAGAGTCCTCTTTGCAGCACAGATAAGGCGGATGGAGGGTTAGGAGAGGGAAAGGGCAAGAATGAGACACCTTCGGTTAAAAGGAAGCAATGCATAAGTAAAGGCCTTGCAGGGTTCAGAGTTCCTCACTTGCACTCTCATGAGGGCCAGCTTGTCACTACTTGAAACTCACTGGAAGGTTCCCCATGATTCTAAGGGGAGGGTATGACTCCTGCTACAGGATGAGGAGGGGCTGGGGAAGGCAGTGTCAAACTCAGAGCTGGCACGGCGGCTGTCATCAGGGCAGATCTGGCTTATCACTTATGGCCAATAAGAGGGGTGGGGGAGGGCTCTGTGGACAAAATGAAAGGACCATGTATGTACATTGCTCTTCAGTTGCGACTGATGCCAGGAATTGCCTGGCACCAAAAAAACCTAAACAGGTTAGTCCTAACATGATGTCATAGAAGCATGATTTGCTTCATATGAGATGACCTAGATGGCTTGGGGCCAAATACAGAGCAGAGGGGATTTGGGGAGCAGGCAGGTTAGTGTGAAGCTGGGTGTCTGAGTGTGGGCAAGAAGCATACCCTTTAGTGTGAAGGTCTGAGAGAAATGAAATGTGGTGTCAGTGAGAGTGCATCCTTCCAGTGCTAGGCTTCCATCACTGCAGAGCCCCTACAGCATTCTGTCAGGTCTGTACCACCAAAGTAGTAACAGAGAACCATGTAGACCTTCCACATATAAAGGGCCTTCTGATCTCCATAGACTACCTATTCTCAGGATTTCCTAAAACAAGATCAGCTTCAAGGGCTGTAACCTACACTATCTCACAGGGCTCCACACTTAAAACAGTCCTCCTGTCTCTGTCTTGACATCTCTAAATTCTTTACTACTTTTTGGACAAAATCCAGATCAAGCCATTGCCATTGAGTGGATTCTGACCCATGTCACACTTCCATTGAGTTTTTACAGCTGTAAATAAGTCTTCACGGGAGTGGACTGCCTCATCCTTCTTCCACAGATTAATAGGTTCAGTCAACCTTTTGGTTAGAAGTTCAACTACACTACCTAATAGTATTACACTATCTGCATTTTCATTTTTTCACTGAGCAGGACAGATCATGTATCAGGGCCTCCCATCAGGGGCATCCTTTCTGGGAGAGCAGCTCCCTCTTATGTTGTTGTTGTTGTTGTTATGTGCCGTCAGTCGCCTGCGACTCATAGCGACCCTATGTACAACAGCCCTAAACTCCGCTCTGTCCTGTGCCAATCGCACTGTCTCTGACACTCCCATCCCAATTATCCCAGTCACCGAATCAATCCACCTCATAGAGGGCCTTCCTCTCCTGCGCTGTCCCTCCACCCTCCCAAGCATGATGTCCCTCTCCAAGGACCGGTCTCTCCTCACAACATGTCCAAAGTATGTTAGACGGAGCCTCAGAATCCTTGCCTCCAAGGAGCCACCCGGTTTAACCCTTTCCAGGACAAATCTGTTTGAGTTTTTAGGAGGCTGTACATTGCAAGGGAGTAGATTTTCCATCTTTCTCCTGCAGCAGCACTGGTGGATTCAGACTACCAGAGAGATACCGTCTCTTATCACTGTCCTTATTCTGTAAAAATGAACCAGCAGAGGTCCTAGTGGGAAACAGTGAGCCTGAAAACATTAAATAACCCTATCTCCCTAGTTATGGCTTCCACTTCTTTCTTTTGTCCTTCTCTGAATTGGATGTCAATTACAATTGGGTCAAATGATATTTATTGAGCATTAGCTGCTCTGTGCCAGGCACTGGTAATTGCTGATATGAAAAAGACAAACAAAATCCCAGACTCTCCCAAGAGGCACTCATCAGGGTGTGTGTGTGTGTGTGTGTGTGTGTGTGTGTGTGTGTGTGTGTGTAAATCATTTTGATAGAGAAACACCGGAGAGCATCATTCTTTACTGTAAACAATTCTGAAATCATAAATTACAAACACATGTAAAACAAGCACCTCCTAGTTTTGCTTGGCCGGGTTTCTTTTTGCATCGAATCAACAGAGCGCTTTCCCAGGTTATGTTGACAAGCAGGGCAGTCACAGCGATGATTCGTGAAAGCTGCTGGGTTTAAAATTGCACACATAACTGTCATGGGCTTACAGGTCCCCCGGCACTGAGCCCAGGAGCCTCTTAGTGAGGATCAAGTGCACATGGCATGGATTTTCTCTATCAGGTTAGCAATGTTTTTTATGCATCGGGCCAAACAATGAATAGTTTAGGCTAAACACCTACTTAACCAAATGGGCCTGTATTTCTATTAAACTGCATTTATAGAGAGAAGAGCCAGGTAGATGTGGCCCAAGTACTGTAGTTTGCTGACCCCTGCTTTATGTAAAGAGAGATCTGGTGGCCTAGTGGAAAGACGTTGTGCTACAATCCCAAAGGCATGCAGTTTGAGGCCACTCATGTAAAGACTGTTAGAGATTTATATTTGATTTTCATTGGGAGGTAGAGTGACCTAAAAGAATGTAAGTACATTAAATAACGCAAGAGAGATTGAGTAAGCCATCTACATTGTTACCAGCTTGGTCATTGGGGTGTGCCAGGTGGCTTGGGCAAAGTGTTGTAAGTCAGAGACAGTAAGTTTGTCTCAGGACAGAGCAGGGTTCAGAGCTGTTGTACATAGGGTACCTATGAGTCGCAAGCCACTCGACAGCACATAACAACATGGTTATAATCTTGTTTGGGAATGAGCTGTCTTTGTTCTGTTAATAAAACGGTATGTTTTTAGTTAATTGCTTTTTGAGATATGAAAGAGATAAGAAGAGATGAAACACGTAAGATAAAGAAGCAAGATAGCATAAGAGAAAAGCCAAGAGAAATGGAGACCTCCAAGGACCCAGGGAGAAGACGCTCAGAAGAGCGAGGACCTTCCTCAGGCACTGAAAGAGAAAGACAGCTCTTCACTCAGAGTAGGCACGTTGAAGTCAGATATTTCGCCTCCTGAACAGTGAAAAAAACAAAAAGCCATCCACTTATAGTATTGCTGTTACAGAAACACTAGCTATCTACTATTGTTGTCAAGTGCCCTTACAGTGACCCTGTGAACAAAAGTGGAAACCTTGCTCTATCCTATGGACTATAAAGGTGCAGGAAACCAACGAGGAAGCAATGCAGTGTCCAGGGCTGCATAGAACCCTGACAGAGCATAAGTGTGAAGAAGCAAGGAGTGATTTTTAGAACCAAGGGAGGGTAACTGTATGGAAGGGACCTCGAACAGAAGCTGTGGCTTTAATAGAGAAACATAGTCCTATTATGTTCCCTAGTCTAACTTTCCCCCAACCAACATTTCTCCTATTCCCATTGGCCAAACCAAATCCAAAGGGCAGGGACTTACTGGTCTCCAAGGATCTGCCCCTCCGGGGTGGAAGGGCAAACTAAGATCTGCATAGTATGTTTATTGAAAGAGGCAGTGAGATGTGACCAGAGATTCATTCATTCATTCAGTGGGCATTTATGCCTCAGGTCAGACTTTGTTACAGTTTAATAAAGGAAACATCTGCCCAGACAATGACACAAAATGATGTACTATGGGAGGACTAACAAAAAACTATATAGGTTAAAGAGGGGAACAAGATCTGAATGTCATTCAAAAAGAAAGGCAAGAATTAGGAATGCAGATTGTTGGAAGCAGCCGCTGCTTGTGGAAGCCCAAAGGTAGATCAAGGGTCTTTCCAACATTATTGACGTGACATCCTGGACAAAGTAGAGCATTTGACTTGGGCTAACACACAAAGCTAGCTTCATGGATCAGTCAGTAGACAGGTGAAATCATTGAACTATCTTAAAAGCTCCACAAACAGGGGCTTTCGTGCAAGCTAATATGGCTCGTTTCGGAGTGCTGACCAAGGGGAAGCTAACCACAGCTGCTGGAACAGAGGATGACAAATTTAGAGGAGCCTCAGATGGGGGTATAATAGAAACACACGGCAAGAAGACACCCTCTGAAGCACGCTGGTTTAATGCTCTCGTTTAGCTGTTTAAAAAACATTTCACATAAAGCAGTGTTCTTATTGCAATCACTCCAACAGCAGTTCATGATTATTTCCCCATGGAAACCACTAGCTTTTATAATCTCTTTCAATTATCATTTGACTTAATTCTCTACCGCACATATCAACATTTGCCCTTCCACAATACCAACAAAGTTCTCTCTGAGTACCTTAAAACATCAAAGACAGGTTTAGTAGAAAATGGCCAAAAACGTCTGTAGCATTCTTTAATTTTCTCCTCTTAGCATTATTATCTTACCTCCCAACAATCACCTAAATGCTAGGTACCTTACATGCCTGTA